CTCACTCCCTCCCCTAGGGTCCGGGTTGACTGACCCCGCGGGCCGGGGTACCCCAAAGGAAGGTAAGACTATTGGGACTATTAAATGAAGCCTTCCAAACATTTTGTGTAATGTGAAAAATACATTTTTTTTGCAGGTTTCTCTTAAAGTCATTTCAAAACCTAGAGAGCATAGATTTATCCGATTTCATAAGACCCAGGAGCCAGAAATCCTCGGCTCATCTGTTTTAAAAATGAATCCAGAGCCGGTGTTTGCCAGCAGATGGCGCACTAAGCTAAACTGTCAAGAGCCAACTGCCGCTCTAGCAGGAGGATGACTTTGTGACTCAGGAACCACTTTTACCCAAGAGCCCTTCTAACACTGTCCTTATTGTCATTGTCAGATAGAGAAACTAAGTTTGTTTCTAAAGTTGTATTACATTTATTCATTTGTTGTGTGTGGGGGGCGGGGCAGGAGGTTGGAGAGCACTCAGCATGTGTGGAGATCAGAGAACAACTTTTGGGAGTCTGTTCCCTCCTTCGACCACATGGGCCCAAGGGATTGAACTCAGGTCCTGGCCATCTGGGTGGCCCCAAACTTACTCATTTTAATTGATTGCCATTTGTATGTCAGTCACTTCAGAGTACATATCTCATTTCACGCCCAGTGAGCAAGAGATTCCTGTCTCCATTTTACAACAGGAAAATGAAATCTCTAGCTTGGATCAGGGAGTGAAGAGGGCTGCGCACGCAGCTCTCGGACTACAGGCTTCCTGGTTTCCTACCATCATTTAGGTCGCTTCTAGGAAGGAAAGCCCTGTGTCGGAGCCTCGTGCTGTGGTGCCGCGCACACAGCTCTGCATTTCTTAGACTCCGAGAGCTCCAGAAAGCAAGCAGGAGATGTGAAACGCCTCTGTGTGAAACTCTTGCTTTCTGAGTGGGCGAGGAGTAACGCACACACGAAGCAGCAGAAGGAAAGCGCAATGAGGGGCGTGTTTGCGGCGGCTGCTCGGGATGGTCAGAGGGAATGGCGCTCTCCCACCGCTATCCACTAAACAAAGGGACTGAGTCCTCACAAGACCTGACGCCATTATAGTATCACTTGCATTGTGGGTTTGGGGTGTTTCCTTTGTGGCCTTTCCTAGAGGTTCATGGGAAGAAATAGCTGAAAGGGAGATCTGATCCGCAATGATTTGGGAAGGAAAAGATAATCACCTTATACCATGAGTATGTCACCCATCTCATAAATATTCATAAGCACTCCTTTACAATCCACAATGCAGAACTCACTGGACAACTTCCTGCCTTGGGGAAGCCCACACCAATCTATCGTGACAGTGCCTGCTTTGCTTAGCTTTGCTAAGTAAACTTCTGCTTAAATTGAAACTATCTTTTGACTCAGTTCTTTCCTTCAGGAAGTCAGGAAGTGAGCCCTCTGGGTATGGACAAACATGCTGTCTACCACACCTGCCTACCTGAGTTTGATTCCTGGACCACCACACAGTAGAAGGAGAGAACAGACTCTTTCAAGTTGTCCTTTGACCTTCATCTGGACACACACACACACACACACACACACACACACACACACACACACACACACACACACACACGCTCATACTGTGATACCAGGAAAATGCTGCCCAGGTCCTAGGTTTCTGACATAGCAGGAACAATATAACTGTAGCACTGAGGACGTTGAGCCACAAAAGCTCAGCCATCTTGAGACACAGCTACCAAGATGCAGTAGCAGCCACCCTGAGTTGCCCCACATCTAAGTCCTTGCTTTCCAGGTGTCACTTCTAGCTTCTTCCCTCACTGCATCTCTTGCCATGTGACCTCCACTGTTCGCTCTAAGTGGCTGTAGAGTCTTGACCCTTTTTGCAGAGCCTCTCAGTGGTCTTTTATTTTGAATTTACCTCACTGAAAATGCTTGATAGAGACATGGCCCCTCTTGAAACTGTCAACTACAAGTCTCCAGATCCTGTCTCCCTCTCAGAACACAAACTATTATCTAGTGACCATGTGGTGATTTGAATAGGAACAGCCCCCATAGGCTCGTATATTTAAATGCTTGATCATTAGAGTGTGGCCCTACTTAGCAGGAATTAGGAGATGTGGCCTTGTAGGAGTAGGTGTGGCCTTGTTGGGGAAAGTGTGTCATTGAGGGTGGGCTTCCGGGTTTCAGAAACCTGATTCAGGCCTAGTGGCTCTCCCTCTGCCTGCTGCCTGCAAATCTGGTTGTAGAATTCTCTGCTACCATGTCTGCCTGCCTGCCACTATGCTCTGTTCCATGAGGATAATAGACTAAACCTCTGAAACTGTAAGCAAGCCCCAATTAAATGTTTTCTTTTGGCCTTCAATCTGAGTCAAGGCCAGCGTGGTCCACAGAGTAAGTTCCAGGACAGTCAGAGAAACCCTGTCTCAAAAACAAAACAACATTTTTCTTTTGTAAGAGTTGCCATGGACATGGTGTCTCTTTGCAGCAACAGAACCCTGACCAAGACAGTCTAGAAAGTAGGTGATAGCTAGCAGGTAGCTAACTGATACTGTGAAATAAATGTTTACAGGAGAAGAGAAGCTGAGAACTTCCCGAGAGCCCAGACATGGCTGTAAGGGCTTCCATGGGTGGCTGAGTGGGTGGGTGGGTGGGTGCTTAGACTTGGTTCAGCTGGCAAACGTGGGGAAGAGGCCCAAATGGTTAAGGAAACACTCAGGCAGATGGTGAAAGAGTGAGGGGCCTACAAGGACACCAGAGTTAGGGTTAGGGTGGCCAAGAGAAGCTCTTACTGCTTTTGGAGATGAAATCTCACTATTTGACCCAGGCTAGTCACAAACTAAAAGTCCTCCTGTCTCAGTCCCCTGGGGATTAGTGGATTCACTCTCACTTAGAAATGGCTAAATAATATCCAATGCCAGCTACATGGTGTCTGTGATAAACTGCAACTTCTACTCATCAGTTACAACATGTGTAAAAAAATTTTTTTGAGACAGTGTCTCACTATGTAGCCCTGGATGGCCTGGAACTCTGTATGTGGCTAAGCTGGCTTTGAGCTCCACCTGCCTCTACCTCCCCAGTTCTGGGATTAAAGACATGTACTGTTGGGTCTCAGGATGTCCATGGAGGAAGCAGTCAAGTAAGACATACATAATGAAAGAAAGGTAAAAAGCCCTGAGGCAAAACGTACATGAATAGAAACAGATTAAATTAAGTTAAAAGAGCTCGTTGGACAAGACTAAACTAAGGTGCAGCAATCATAATTAATAAGTGAGGTTGGCAGCCCAAAGAAAATTCCAACTAAAGGGACATATGGTTACCTGTGGCACCTATCAGCATACAGAGCCCCTGCTGGCCTCCAGGCTCCCTCAGTAACACTAGTACCTGTTACACATTTCAAAACCCATGCTGGCATCCTGCTGCACTTCACCACCCCCAGCTACTCTTCCTACTTATAATCCACATGATTTGTTCACTTTAGACTCTATTCCCACTCAATTTTCAAAAAACGTGTGTGTGTGTGTGTGTGTGTGTGTGTGTGTGTGTGTGTGTGTGTGTGTGTACCATGGTGGATGCATAGAAGGCAAAGGACAACTTTCAGGAGTCAGGTCTCTCCTTTACCATGTGGGTTCCAGGGATCAAGCTTGGGTTGTTAGCCTTGGCAACAAGGACCTTTATTATTGAGCCAGCCCAGAATAGCATTTATAACCATTGCTCTGTATTGACCACAAAAAGAGCCAGCAGTAGAGGCAGCTGCCAAGAACAAATGGGCTGGAGAAGTGCCGAGGTAATTGAGCATGTTGATCTAAGCAGTGCACTCAGAGGTAAGGCTTGCACACTAAGCCTCCCAGACAGGGTTCTCAGTCCTGGCTGACCCTGTCACCTCCTGGGGAAGCTTTAAAATGGCTTGTGCTCCACTCATACTTTCTGATGTAATGGCTTTGGGGTGCTGCTGGGCAGTGGGATTGCTTTCCGTTTTCCCAGGGAACTCTGATGTGCACCCAGGTCACAGACCTTCAAAGCATCTCCTAAACATCTGCAGATCTTGTTAAACTGCAGAGTCTGCTACAGGAGGCCTGCTAACAAGCTCCAGCTGACCAACTGGAAGCCTCCTCACTCAGAGGGGAGGATGCAGACACAACAGCCTCACCTGGGAACTGTCAGGGACTCAGGCTCCTCGTTACAGCTCAGATCCTCACCGTCCCTAGATGGATGTGAGTAAGGGTGAGAAGTACTCTGAGATCAGGGTGGGTAGGAAGAAGGACGGGAGAGTGAGGGGTTCAGAAGGGAAGTACTTGAGAAAGGATGGGGGGAACTGAAGATGATCAGCTCAGAAGAAGGGAGGGAGAGAAGAGATTCAGGTAAGCACTTCAGTCCTGGGATGGGTACTGAGAGAGGAGGGAACTAGTCTGTGTTCCCAAAATGCGTAGCTGTAAGCCGGGTGTTGGTGGCACACTCCTTTGATCCCAGCATTCGGGAGGCAAAGGCAGGCAGATCTCTGTGAATTCGAGACCAGCCTGGTCTATCGAGCAAGTTCCAGGACAGGCTCCAAAACAATACAAGAAACCCTATCTCGAAAAGCAAAACAAAATAAAGCAAAACAAAAAAGTGTAGCTGTGATTTGAAATAAAGTCAAAGAGAAAGATTCTTTTTGGCTCATGGCTTCAGTCCATGGTTGCTTGGCTCTGCCTCATGGACATATGTGAAGCTGAGCATCTTCTGGGGGGAATGTGTGGCAGAGGAAAGTGCTTACCTCATCACACCTCCAGTGACCTAACTTCCTTCTGCTATGTCCCATCTCTTAAGGGTTCTGCCATCTCCAGATTGTGCTATCAGCTGGGTATGAAGCCTTCTCGATAACTCTTCCCGCCAGCCTGTACCCAGTGCTGCATCAGCCCCAAATAACACAGGAGACACTACATTAATTATAAAACTGTTGGCTGTTGGCTGTGGTTTCTTATTGGCTGACTCTAACTTAATTATTAACCCATTTCTAATAATTTAAATGTTTCCACATGGTCTTCTCTTACAGGAGAAAGGGTTTGGGCCAGTTATTCCTCTCACATCCTACATGGTGACTGACAGTGCCTACGTTTCCCAGAATCCTCCACCTCTCCTAGTCCCACCTATCTTGCTTTCCTATTGGCCAACAGTGCTTTATTCATCAATCAATAAGACAAACATATACACAGAAGAACATTCCCCATCAGAAGACCCTCTTGATGATGTCATTATCAGTGGTGCCGAGCCTCTCTGGCTGTTTTAATTTGTTTTCTTATTGCTGTGATGTACTCCATGACCAAAAGCAACTTGGGAAAGAAATGACTTATTTGATTCATGTGTTCCAATTATAGTCAGTCATTGAGTGAAGTACCAGGGGCAGGAACTCAAACAGGAACTGAAACAGATGCTACAGAGAAATGCTGCTTACCGGCTTGCTGCCCATGGCCAGTTTTCTTATACAGTCCAGGACCACCTGCCTAGGGATGGCACGACACACAGTGGGCTGGACCCTCCTACATCAAGTATTAATGAAGAAAATGCCCCCGCAAACTTGCCTACAAGCCGACCTGATAGGGGGATTTACTCAATCGAGGCAATTTCTTCTCAAGTGACTTCAGTTTGTTTCAAACTGATTAACTACACAGAGGCTCAAGTGTGGCAAGGGTGCCCTGACCTCCCCATGCAATCCCCCGTTCTCTGAAGTCCTAAGTCTATGCAGCTGAAGTGCAGGGTGTTAGGGTTCCCTGGATCTGTGGCGTATTGTCACTTTTCTCGTGGCAGGGACAAAATACCTGAAAAGGAGAGTTTGAGGGAGGGCGTGTTCATTTGAGTAGCAGGAACATGAGGGAGCTGGCCGTATCACACACCCAGTCAGAAATCATGGAGAGTTGGTGCTCACTTCCCCCTCATTGCCCAGGCTTAGGTGCTAGCCTGGGGAGTGGCGATGCCTACCTACTGTCCCTAATCCAATCTAGAAACTGCCTCACAGACTTGCCTGGAGAGAGGTTTCCCTGTGGATTCCAAATGCCATCAAGTTGTGGAAGATGAACCACCATGGGGTCAGTGCCCCAGAGGAGCTGAGGTGAGTTGTATCTGAACTAATATCTGGAACCAGGAAAAGGACCAACACTGATGGAAATCAACTTTAGTAATGAGATGCTTGTTCATGATGGAGAGCCAAGTACCTCACACAAGCGTGTGTGTGAGAGGCGACTCCAGACAGCTCCCAATTTAGCCAAGGTGACCCTGGGGGCCCCTTACCTACCCTGTTGTTGCCTGATATCTGAGATAAGAGTCTGTGAGCTGACCTTGGGGCTGTTGTGGCAGAGAGGAGTCAGGAGGCTTTGGTCCTTGCCTTGGTTAGTCTCTATCAGACAGAGGAACTGACACAGACTGGGGGACCCTAACTGGGGTTCCTACCTTTATAATCTCATAGACTCCTTATAAGACCCCACACTACAGGTGAGCACAGTTCATAGAAGCAGAATTGACTTCCCTGTTTGCCCATCTAGGGAGTAGCAGGGAGTGGGGACTCTTTCCTCATCAGAACTTTTTCAGAGTCTTGGGCCACATGTAGTGAGCATTTTCTAACTACACATAGACCAAAAAGGAGAGCATTGTTCCCCAAGCCCTTATGATGTTCAAGGCTCCTTGGCACCGAGTGCATTTTTCTCATAGCTGATTATTGTAATCCCAGGAAGCTGGTTACTGATTTTAATTACTCCCAGTTGGTTTGCTGATAGTTTGTCTTGGAGGACTCATGAGGAAGTAACCGCTCAGACCTGTGTTCCGCAGGCAGCTGAGATAAAGCATTGTTCCTCTGGCTCCTTGGGTGCCTGCCTTCCGGCCACAGGTGCTTGCAGCCAGTAGAGAGAATGTTCTCCACCCTCTGCTGCACAGACCCGTGCCTCTGCACATTTGGTAGAGTGGGCTGAGACAGACAGGGGACCTGGTGTCTTCTTGGCTACTTCCTCAGTTTCAGCTCTTGATTGGCTTATACAGCTCAGGCTCTTGGGGTCTCAGATCTACCAGTTAAATCCCATGGCTTTCCTGGAAATGGTGCTGTTCCTGGTGTTTGCCTGGGGTTACTGCTATAGAGTCTGCAGGAAGCCACCATCGTGGGAAAACTCCTGAAGTTCTTTTCTCTAAATAAGAGATTGGTAGTCATATTCTCTCTGTGCGTCTCTCCCTCCATCTCTCCCTCTCTTTTCTTCTCCTCTCCCCGTAGTGGGCCTCTCCCATTACATACACCCACTCCCCAAATATCTGTTGAATGACTAGATGGATGGAGGGTCTTCAATGGTGGCACATCTTCATGGGCTAGTCATGTAGTATAACATATGAAGTGTGTGGGCTGAGAATAGCAGAGGGCGAAGAGTTGAGACACCTGCCAAGGGCATTCATTTACTCTGAACCAATAGCCATAAAAATCAGACAGTCCTAGCTAAACAAAGGTCCTCTGTGGCTGCAAGCTTGAGTGTGTACTGTCAGTAACTGGCCCAGTGGTGAGATTTTGTGGTTTCCTTAGAGGGCACCGAGGCATAGGTCTGTGAAACCTATGGCTTTCTCAAAGTGTCCATTCCCTCTCCCTGAAAAACACTTTTCAGGGTGGCACCAGGAAGGAATGTGTTTCTCAGACAGATTTACGCATTCACTTTTAAATTTATTTTTATATTTTTAAATTGTGTGCATCAGTGTCTGTGTGTGCATACAGGAGTGCAGGTCCCCTCCAGAACTAGAGTGGAGGCATTGGATTCTCCTGGAGTTGGAGTTAGGGGTGATTGCGAGCCGCTGGGAACAGAACTCAGGTTAATTCCCGAAGAACAGCAAGTGCTCTTAACTACTGAGGCACTGCTCCAGCCCCCATACTCATTTACTCATTTTGAATCAGACAAAGCCCAGGATTCATGAGTCTCATAGTTTTTTTTTTTTAGCTAGAAGATTTAGAGCTGGATTTGTGGCTTTGGTTCTTGAAGGAATTTGTGTGTGTGTGTATGTATGTGTATAGGTAAGAGGGTGATATCGTGTGTTTCCCTCTATCACTCTGGACTACGTTTATGTTATATTATGAATGTATGTATTTAAAGACAGAGTCTCACTATGTAGACCAGGCTGGCCATGAATTTACAGAGATCACATGCTTCTGCCTCCTGAGTACTGGGATTAAAGGCATGTGACACCACACCAGAGTTCTACTTTTTTTTTTGAGTGAACATGGAGCCCACTGATTGGCCAGACTGCTAGTCAGTGAGCTCAGTCTTCCACCTGTCTCTGTCTCCCATCTATGGACTACGGATGCAGGTGGCTATGCCTGACTTTTACATGGTTCCTGGGGATCTGAACTCAGGTCCTTATGCTTATAGAGCAGGCACTTTATCCTCTGAGCCATCTCTCCAGCCCCATCATCCTATTATTAATTCTTGTTACTATGGTGCACTTGATGGATATTTTAATGAAATCCCCATTTGATGGTAGGCTTGGTTATAAGGGTAAACAATGAACTGAATGAACACTGAAGAAATAAAATCCTTTTTCTTTTCAAATGAACACCCTTCAACTCAAAGGTGTTCCATGTGATGGTCCTTGGAAACAAACAGAGAGAAATAGAAGTGAGTTAAGACACTGTTTGAGGTCTAAGAGGAGACGTGTGGGAGATGCCAGGGAGGAGGCAGGGAGGAGGCAGGGCTGTGACGAGAAAGCAGGACACAACTCCTCACAGCGAAATGAGACATTCATTGTCTGAGAGCTAGACTCTACTTCTCCCTGTAGAGGGGCCCATGTACCAAGCCACGAAAAGCCTTTTCTGCAGTGACCCAGTAGACCACAGGTGTGTACACAGCTGGCTGGAGACAGCATACCTTTCTCTTATTTGATCGATGGAGAGTGTGTAATGGTCCTTTTTCCCATAGTCCCTCCCTACCCAGCAGTGATCCCTGGACTTTGTCACTTCAGTATGAAAATGACCTGTCCTTGACATCCATAGGCCCTGATAGTACATTTCTAGAAAATCCATATCTAGTCAGAACATTTACAGTAAGACATTCAGCCATGAGCCGACATAGCTGTAAACCTGGCAGTTACTGTCATGCCAAAGAGGAGGGGCCAGTGACTTTACCAGAAGAGATGCAGTCATTGCTTCCCGTATGGCCCCAGTGACACAGCAAATTCCCTGATGTCTTCCCAGCCACTGCGTTCTGCCAACACACTTATCTGAAGCACGGGGTAAATGCTTAATCTCACCTCTCTTTCGGTCTGCATATCTGTAATTATTTTAATGCCTCTATTGATTCTGTGCATGCTAATTACCTGAGTCTTTCTTCATCTTCCTCCTGGATGCTGACTTTGGGGTTGAGCCCTAACAGCTGAGGCCTGCCCTTAAACTCTTGTCTGCTTTAGTGAATTATTCTATTGCTTTTTCTTGCTGATTCTCTTCCTTAAATAAATAAAAAAACGTTTATTTCCTTAAATAAACTTTTGTGCACTTGCTCCCTCCTAGACTCCTTCAATTTTGAAAACATCCCTCTGAAATGAGATTGCCCACCTACATCTTGTCTTTTCTTTGGACAGATAACTAGGTAAATTACTTCAACAAATTCCATCCCTTACTATCCATGAGGTCCCATGGCCGTAATTCAGTCAAGAAATGCTAATAAGGCACAAACTGTGTGCTACATTCTGTTCTGGGCACTGCATATGCATCAGTGAAAGAAAAATAAACCAACCTATTCATAGTGGGAGGAGGCAGGCAATAAGCACAGTATTTGGAAAATTAATTGAAAAAGAGGGCTGATTATAGAGTGGTGATCAGCCAGTGGAGAGTCTGTGAAGGTGATGACTAAGGAGTGAGCCATTTCCTTCACTGGAGAAGAACATGATGTCTCAGTGGGTTGTCCCTGCAGAGTTTGATAACCTGAACTCAATCCCTGGGTCCCACATAGAAGAAGTGAACTGACTCCCACGTAAACACACACACACACACACACACACACACACACACACAGAGAGAGAGAGAGAGAGAGAGAGAGAGAGAGAGACAAAGACAGAGACAGCAAGATAGACAGAGACACAGAGAGAGCATGCAGACATGCAGATACTGGGAATAGGACACAGGGGTGTACAAAGGCTTTGAGGAAGGAGATGCTATGGTGGGGGAAATCACAGGGATCCATAACAAGAGAAGTGGGAAAAGAAGAAATGACCATAGATGTGGCAGAGGGCCAACTATGTAAGCAATGCCTTACAAGACACCAGGCTTTGTTTGCCTGGGGCAGATGTTTTAGCTTGGTGTCTCCAGATGCTTTGTAGAGGATGACCAGGCTGAGGGCAGAAAATCAAGTAAATTGGCAGCATGTCCTCAGAGTGTTGACAGTGACTGGTGACTACAGAATCTTGAGTATCAAGAAAAAGAATTTGGACTGGACTGAAAGCCATTGGGAAACTATGGGAGATAAGAATGGGATTGGGGGTTTATGTAATCTGTCTGTTCTATGGCCTTCAGTAATACGTCTGTGTGTACTTGATAATCTGCCTTCAGACAGTATCGTACGGATTGGAGAGATGACTCTGCAGGTAAAGGTACTTGTCTGGCAAGCCTGGCTACCTGAGTTCAATTCCTGGACCTGTGTGGAAGATAGTAAAAAACAGACTCCACAGAGTTACCTTTTGACTACCACATGTATGAGTTGGCATGTGCTCCCTACATACACACTTAAACAGATAACATCTTAGAGCATAATTGTCTTCAGGGCTGTGTGGACTTCCTCTACAATGGCCCTTTCAAGTTCATTAGGGAAGCATAGATGGTGCCCATTGGGATCAATGTTGGATTAATAAGGAAATCAGGACAGACCACCAGTGGCTGTGAACAACATCTATGACCTGGCCCCTGCCACATGGCGACTGCTTGAAAAACTGTTCCGGTTTAACTTCCTACTCACTCATGGCCGGTGCCATGGCAGCTTGGTTAAATCCCTGAGCTTGGCACTGAGAAGTCAGGGTTCTAATCTAACTCCACCTGACTAAAACCCCAGACCCTTTCAGCCTGGAACTTTCTGTCTACTAAGATGCTGGACTAGGGCCATGAGATTTTTTTCCCTACCCTGACTGAGCAATTTTAAAATGTTGTGCTTTGCAACTCATTCAACCCTTAACTTGTGACTATAGGAGAAAGGTTATTTTCTATTATAGGTGAGGCAAACAGGGCCCAGCCTTTGACATAGTGATATTGTCACCAGCAAAGTTTATACCCAAAACTGTGAAACAGAGTAAGAAGACGAAGAAAAGGAAGAGGAGGAGGAGGAGGAAGCAGAAAAGGAAGAAGCCATGAGATGGCACAGCTGATAAAGTCTGATGACATGATTTGATACCTAGGACCCACATGATGGAAGAGAATCTGCTCCCACATGTTGTCCTTTGAACTTTACACATGTGTCATTACATGCATGCTTCCATAAATAAATACTAAATAAAATATTATAAAAATCAAAAGAAATGCCCCCCAAACAAAACCTCATAATGTTTAAGTAAGTTTACAATTTTGTGTTGGATATCCTCGACCTTACGTGGCCCACAGACAGAAGATAGGATGTGCCTGGATGTGATTTGGTTTATTCAATGAGTAAGAAGAACTCAGAGGGCTTAGAGAAATGGCTTGGCAGCTAAGAGCACTTGTTTTTGCAGGGGACTCAAGTTCATTACCCAAGACCTATATGGTAACTCACAAAGGTCAGTAACTCCAGTTTCAGGGGATCTGATGCCCATTTCTGAACTCTATGGGCACCAGGAGTACATGTGGTATATATACATACATTCAGATAAAACACCCATACACATAAAATAAAATAAATCCCAAAAATTTTTAAGTAAAACTCAAAATTTTCAAAATTCTCTTTCCACTAACCATAGCACTGGGAGAAAGTTCTGTTCAAATATCGGTTTATTAACTCAGTTTCCTCCAAACAAGATACACCCATTTGACAGAATGTAACAATGTGCAATGTGGGTTAGGTGTGTGTGTGTGTGTGTGTGTGTGTGTGAGGGGGAGAGACTTTAAAAACAACAGACTGACTAGCTTCATGGACCATGCTTTATAGTCTCTATGTTCAACATGGCTTAAATAGCTTTGTTTGTTACTCTGGTTACACGCATTAACTCAATGACAAAATATATTCATAATGTAATCACAATCTTGCTTAAGCATATGGGCTTACAGCTGTAATATTTTGTCATTGTATTTTATAGAAAAAGTAATTAGTGTTAAAAGTAATACTCTTGTAATGTAAGAATAAGTTTGGGCAGTCAGAGGTATTGCTTTCCTGTCCTTAAACTATGCTACAGAGTCATAGCAGCAAAGACAGAAAAGCATCACAAGAGATGGTACCAGATCAAAAGTAGGCATGTTAGTCAACAGAACGTGATCGAAGACCCCAAAATAAACCCGTTTAGCTAATTAAGCACATCTAACTTTTGACAAAGATACATAAAAACATACTCTAGGGGGAAAAGATAGCCTATTCAATGGATAACATGACAAAACTAACATCCAACTGCATAAAAATCAACTCAAATTGGCTCAAAGACCTTAATAAAAAAAAACCGAAAATTTGAAGATATTAGAGGAAATCACAGGGACAATATTTCTGACTTGAACCCCAGTTATACATGGGAGAGTCCCAAGAACTGACAAATGGAATTGCATGACATTAAAAGCTTCCACCTGGCTTTAGTAATGATTGGCAGAATGAACCAATGGCCTGCAGGGTAGCAGCAACAAAAAATCTCTGCCAGTAATTCTTGGAAGATTGGTTTAATATAACGGATACATAAAGAACCATACAGATTAAACACCCTCAACTTTGACTGTCAATTCATAAATAGGCTAATGAACTGAACAGTTTTAGAGACACAAATGCGCCGTCAATAGTTTTTAAAGTGTTTAGCATCCTTAGCCATCACAGAAATACAAATTAAAACCGCTTTGAGATTTCGTCTCTCCCCAGTCAGAAGAGCTGCCATCAACAAAACAAATAAAATAAATCCTGGTGAGGAATTTGGAGAAAGCTGGTTCATCACTCACTGTTGATGGGAATGTGGATGGATATAGCCACCATGAAAACCATTGAAGAGGTTTCTACTTTTTTTCCTTAAAAATAGAACTACTATATGTATGGTGCCTTTATGTCACCCCTGGGCATAAGTCCAAAGTATTGTATGTTTTACCACAGCTATATTTGCACATCCACATTCATTACTGCTCTATCTATAGTGACAAGGAAATGGAATCACCCCAGTTGTGTGTCAGACAGGTGGGTCATGAGAATGTGGCACCAAATAGATTGTGAGAACGTGATACATAAACACAATGGGATTGCCTTCTACCACAAAGAAAGATGAAATTTGGAGAAATAGATGGAGCTGGAGAACATTACATTAAGCTAGGCAACTCAGGCCTAGAAAAACAAATGCTGCATTATCACCCTCATATGTGGGTCCTAGCTTCTGGTTTTTATATAGGTGTCTGTGTGAGTGAGCATGGGCAGAGGGCAGGAAACAAGAAAGGGCACCCTGAAAGGGGAAGAGGCTGTAAGAGGAGGGTGTGGGCATATGAAAGAGGAAGGGAATTCTGGGATGGAGGAGTCTAAAGGGGGATATGTAAGGAGGTATGATGATGACAGGGAGACCAGGGAGAGGATGAAGTGTGTGTGTGTATAGAACCAGTCACAACTGGAATATATGGAAACATTATAAGGAAACCTAATACCTTTTATGCTGCCTTTCAACTTTTGCTTTTCAAATTTGTTTTGTCGTGTGGACTGCGTGGCAACTATTGCTTCTTGACTCTTAGACTGTGTTCATCTCCTCTTTCTTCCCCATGCCCACACAACCTTTTTTGGACCTGAGAATGTTTTGAGGTGTGTAGATATAATTTGTGAACGTATAAAAAGGTGGCTTAAGGTATATGAAAAAAATGGTTCAGATTTTTCCCTTGTTATACTATTTCTATTGAGCCCTCAAAAGTTCAGAATTTAACATTATCTCTAGAGTTCTGATAAGCTATTAATCTATCTCTGATAAGCACTAGCTACTATTATAGTCTATGAGCTAAAGATTTTAAGTTCCCTTTGGTTATCCTCTAAGGAAGGCTTAGAGGAACTTCTCATCAGACTAAAACATCTCTGTCCAATCTATGTCTAGCTCTCTGGACAGAGGAAAAAAAATTCTTTCTAACCCAAAGCTATAGCTTTTGCTAGGATTCAAAGGCATGAGTCTACTCCAGCTGTTTTACAGGCACCAGTTAACTGACTTTTCTATGATGTGAATGTCAATACAGATTACAAACAATGATTAATGCTAACATATCTGGAACTTTTTGTGAACTTAAAAAAGGTTCTTGTAAGTTTTGGAGAATTGACTTGGATTCCCGTCTCAAATGGATTTCAGATAAGTACTGTCAATCAATTGCCTGTTTCCCCACCTGCCTGTACCTGATGCAGTGGGAACTCTTCCTTTTCATGGTCTTGGGACTCCCCTAACCCAGGTACCAGCACACTGGACCTGGAAGTTTCAAATGTACACCTCAAAGAAAACAATTTTAACTTTATGTTCTGACCCTAGTGTGTATCTGTTCCAGCAGACTTCCAGTCAATTAGACTGCATACTGCTCCAGCCGATGACCACACTCTCCCAGCTCCATAAGTTCCTGAAGAGCCTGGGTAAGTGAAACAGCTGCTCTTCCTGGACTTGGTCAACATTCCAGCTTTTTGGGTTCCCAACTAAGATGCCCCAATGTCAACAGGGCATCAACAGTAGTCATAGACTTGTCATCCCTGATCATTTATTATCAGCAAAAAAAGGCTGAGATGTTAAGTTTCAAAACCAGCACAAAAGACTAAGGTGTCTATTTAACACATCAAAGCTGGACTTGGCTACCAGGTTCTCCCATCATCCCTCAGTATCTATCTGTTACAGGGTATGGCTTATTAACCCTGAACTCTCCAGCCCAAGGCTAGACTGTCATTTCCTCAGAGGCTCTTCCCTATATAATCCAGACATTTTGGTTATATAAGCACCTGCATGTACTGTCCACATGTACCTCTCTCTAAACAGTGTACCTACAACCTCAGAACCTCTTTGATGCCCATATGCATCAGGATACATGAACTCTCATTTATAAATGATAGAATAAATAGCATTAAGTCATAGTTAGATCTCCTCAGGTTCCTTTCTTCCTTTCTTTTTAGTAAGTTAGAGGATTTATTGAGACATGATAGTTTTTCTTTTTTTTACACTTTTTAATTATATATTTAAATTAGAAACAAGCTTGCTTCCCATGTCAGTCATAGCTCCCTCTCCCTCCCCTTCACACCCACTCCCTCCCCCTGCACCCCCCAGCTCCCCACCCAATCCCCACTCCATTCCCCAGTGAGGGTAAGGCCCTCCATGGGATATATCTAGAGTCTGTCATTTCATTACGGGGAGGGCCCAGCCCCTCCCCAAAGTGTCCAAATTGAGAAAGCATCCCTCATTGTGGGATGGGTCCCCAAAGTCCATTTGTGAGCCAGGGATAAATACTGATCTATTACCCAAAAACCCCATAGATTGCCTGAGTCTCCTCACTGACACCCACATTCAGGGTGTCTGGATCAGTCCCATGCTGACCTCTCAGCCATCAGTCTGGGGTCCAAGATCTCCCCCTTGTTCAGGTCAGCTGTTTCTCTGGGATTCTCCAGCCCAGTCTTGACCCCTTTGCTCATCACTCTCCCTCTCTGTCATTGGGTTACAGGAGTTCAGTTCAGTGTTTAGCTGTGTGTGTCTGTCTCTGCTTCCGTCTTTCACTGGATGGAGGTTCTAGGATGGTATGTAAGATAGTCGTCAAAATCATTATTCGGGAGGGGCATTTAAAGTATTCTCTTCAATATTGCTTAGTTTGCCAGTTGGTGTCATCATTGTACATCTCTGGAGTTCTCATTAGTGCCAGATCTCCCCTCAAACCTAGAATGGCTCCCTCTATTATGGTATCTCTCATCCTGCTCTCCTCTATTCTTCCCCCATGTCCTCCTCTCTCTTCCTCTTGTCTCCCTCTCTTTTTCCTGGCTCCCTTTGCCCTCCCCAACCCTGTGCTTCCAATCCGCTCAGGAGATCTTGCCTCATTCCACCTTCTCTGGGGTACCATGTATATCTCTCTTAGGGTCCTTCCTGTTTCCCGGCCTCTCCAGCAGTGGAAATGTAGACTAGCACTCCCCTGATTCATGTCTAAAATACATATATGAGTGAGTACATTCCATGTTTGTCTTTTTGTGACTGGGTTACCTCACTCAGGATGGTTTCTTCTAGTGCCATCCATTTGCCTGCAAATTTCAGGATTCCATTGTTTTTTTTCTGCTGAATAGTATTCCATTGTGTAAATGTACCACATTTTCTCTATCCACTCTTCCATTGAGGGGCATCTAGGTTGCTTCCAGGTTCTGGCTATTACAAATAGTGCTGCTATAAACATAGAGGAACAGACATCCTTGTCGTATGAATGTGCATCTTTTGGGTATATGCCTAACAGTGGAATTGCTGGGTCTTGTGGTAGACTGATTCTGATTTTCTGGAGGAATCTCCGTACTGATTTCCATAGTGGCTGTAACGAGTTGGCACTTCCACCAGCAATGGAGGTGTGTTCCCCTTTCTCCACCTCTCCAGCATAAACTGTCATTGGTGTTTTTATTTTAGTCATTCTGACAGGAGTAAGATGGTATCTTAGAGTTGTTTTGATTTGCATTTCCCTGATTGCTAGGGATGTTGAGCACTTTTTGTGTCTCTCAGCCATTTTAGTCTCCTCTATTGAAAATTCTCTATTTAGTTCTGTAGCCTACTTTTTAATTTGATCATTTGGTGGTTTGGAGACTTGCTTCTTGAGCTCTTTGTAGATTTTGGATATCAGCCCTCTGTCAGATGTGGGATTAGTGGATATCTTTTCCCACTCTGTGGGCTGCTTTTTTGTCTTATTGACCATATCCTTTGCCTTGCAGAAGCTTCTCAGCTTCAGCAGGTCCCATTTATTAATTGTCGATCTCAGTGTTTGTGCTACTGGCGTTATGCTCAGGAAGCGGTCTCCTGTACCAATTCGTTCAAGGGTACATCCTACTTTGTCTTCTAACAGGTTCAGTGTGACTGGATTTACGTTGAGGTCTTTAATCCATTTGGATTTAAGTTTTGTGCATGGCGATAGACATGGATCTATTTGCTGTCTTCTACATGCAAGCATCCAGTTATGCCAGCACCATTTGTTGAAGATGCCTTCTTTTTTTCCATTGTATAATTTTTGTTTCTTTGTCAAAAACCAAGTGTTCTCCGGGCGTTGGTGGCGCATGCCTTTAATCCCAGCACTCCGGAGGCAGAGGCAGGCGGATTTCTGTGAGTTCGAGGCCAGGCTGGACCGACAGCCTCCAAAACAATACAGAGAAACCCTGTCTCGTAAAAACCAAAACCAACCAACCAACCAACCAAACAAACAAACAAAAACCAAAAAACCAAGTGTTCATATGTGTGTGGGTTAATATCAGGGTCTTCAATTCAATTCCATTGGTCTACCTGTCTATTTTTGTGCCAATACCAAGCTGTTTTCAGGACTATAGCTCTATAATAGAGCTTGAAGTCAGGGATGGTGATGCCTCTGGATGTTGCCTTGTTGAACAGGGTGGTTTTGGCTATTCTGGGTCTTTTATTTTTCCATATAAAGTTGAGAATTGTTCTTTCAAGGTTTGTGAAGAATTATGCTGGAATTTCAATGGTGATATCATTGAATCTGTAGATTGCTTTTGGTAAGATTGCCATTTTTATTATGTTGATCCTACCTATCCAAGAGCATGGGAGATCTCTCATTTTCTGGTGTCTTCTTTAATTTCTTTCTTTAATGACTCAAAGTTCTTGTCATATAGGTCTTTCATTTGTTTGGTTAGGGTTACCCCAAGGTATTTTATGTTGTTTGTGGCAATTGTAAAGGGTGATGTTTTTCTGATTTCTTGCTCAGCCCTTTTATCGTCTGTATATAGTAGGGCTACTGATTTTCTTGAGTTGATATTGTATCATGACACTTTGCTGAAGGTATTTATCAGCTGTAGGAGTTCCCTGGTAGAATTTTTCTGGTCACTTATGCAAACTATGATATCATCTGCAAATAGTGAAAGTTTGACCTCTTCCTTTCCAATTTGTATTCCCTTGATCTCCTTTTGTTGTCTTATTGCTCTGGCTAGAACTTCCAGTACAATATTGAAGAGGTATGGAGAGAGTGGGCATCCTTGTCTTATTCTTGATTTTAGAGGAATTGCTTTGAGTTTCTCTCCATTTACTTTGATGTTGGCTGTTGGTTTGCTGTATATAGCTTTTATTATGTTTAGGTATGTTCCTGTTATCCCTGATCTCTCCATTACCTTTATCATGAAGGGGTGTTGGATTTTGTCAAAGGCTTTTTCAGCATCTAGTGAGATGATCATATTATTTTTATTTCTCAACTTGTTTATATGGTGGATTATATTGATGGATTTTTGTATGTTGAACCATCCCTGCATCCCTGGGATGAGACCTACTTGATTATGGTGGATGAGTTTTCTGATGTGTTCTTGGATCTGATTTGCCAGTATTTTATTGAGTATTTTTGCATCAATGTTCATGAGGGATATTGGTCTGAAGTTCTCTTTCTTAGTTGTCTCTTTGTGTGGCTTGGGTATCAAGGTTATTGGAGCCTCGAAAAAAAGAGTTTGGCAAAGACCCTTCTGCTTCTATTGCATGGAATACTTTGAGGAGAATTGGTATAAGTTGATCTTTGAATTTCTGGTAGAATTCTGCACTGAGGCCATCTGGCCCTGGGCTTTTTTTTTGGTTGGGAGACTTTTGATGCTGTTTCTATTTCCCTAGGGGCTATAGGTCTATTTAAATTGCTTATCTGTTCTTAATTTAATTTTGGCAGGTGATATCTTTCCAGAAAGTTGTCCATTTCCTTTAAATTTTCGAATTTTGTGGAGTACAGGTTTTCAAAGTATGACCTGATGGTTCTCTGAATTTCCTCAGTCCATTGTTATGTCCCCTTTTTCATTTCTGATTTTATTAATTTGCATGTTCACATTCTGCCGTTTTGTGAGTTTGGATAAAGGTTTGTCTATCTTGTTGATTTTCTCAAAGAACCAACTCTTTGTTACATTGATTCTTTGTATCATTTTCCTAGTTTCTACTTTATTGAGTTCAGCCCTCAATTTGATTATTTCCTGGCGTCTACTCCTCCTGGGTGAGTTTACTTCTTTTTGTTCTAGAGCTTTCAGTTGTGCTGTTAATTCTCTAATGTGACTATTCTCCAGTTTCTTCATGTGGGCACTTAGTGCTATGAACTTTCCTCTTAGCACTGCTTTCAAAGTGTCCCATAAATTTGGGTATGTTGTGTCTTCATTCTCATTGAATTCTAGGAAGTCTTTAATTTCTTTTTTTATTTCTTCTGTGACCCAGGAGTGGTGCAATTGCGCATTATTCAATTTCTATGAGTTTGTAGGGTTTCTGCAATTTGTGTTGTTGTTGAATACTAACTTTAAAGCATGGTGGTATGATAAGATACATGGAGTTATTCCATTTTTTTGTACCTGTTGAGGTTTGATATGTTGCCAAGTATGTGGCTGATTTTTGGGAAGGTTCCATGTGGCACTGAGAAGAAAGTATATTGTTTTGTGTTTGGATGGAATGTTCTATAGATGTCAGTTAAACCCAATTGGGTCGTAACTTCTATTAGTTCCTTTGCTTCTTTGTTAAGTTTCTGTCTGGTAGTCCTGTCTAGTGGTGAGAGTGGGGTGTTGACATCTCTCACTATAAGTGTGTGAGGTTTTATGTGGGGTTTGAGTTTTAGTAATGTCTCTTTTAAGAATGTGGATGCCTTTGTATTTGGGGAATATATGTTCAGAATCGAGACTTCATCTATCTTAGTGGACTTCTCTTGTGATGAATATAAAATGACCTTCATCTCTTTTGATTGATTTCAGTTTAAAGTCTAGTTTGTTAGATATTAGGATTGCTATCCTTGCTTGTTTCTTGGGTCCATTTGATTGGAAAATCTTTTCCTAACCCTTAACTCTGAGGTAACATCTGTCTTTGAAGCTGAGGTGTGTTTCTTGTGTGCAGCAGAAGGATGGATTCTGTCTTCAAATCCATTCTGTTAGCCTGTGCCTTTTTATGGGTGAATTAAGACCATTAATATTGAGGGATATTAATGACCTTTGATTGCTCATTCTTGTTTGTTTTGGAATGGTTGATGGTGGTGGAATTGTGTGTGGATTTCCACCCCTTTTCTCTTTTGGCTGTTGGTAAAGTGGGATTATCTATTACCTATGTTTGTCTGGTTGTAGCTAACTTCCTTGGATTGGAGTTTTCCTTCTAGAACTTTCTGTAGGGCTGAGTTAGTGGATTGTTTAAATCTGGTTTTGTCATGGAATATCTTGTTTTCCCCATCTATATTGATTTAAAGCTTTGCTGGGTATAGTAGTTTGGGCTGGCATCCATGGTCTCTTAGTGTTGATAGAATATCTATCCAGGACCTTCTGGATTTCAGAGTTTCCATGGAGAAGTCAGGTGTAATTCTGATAGGTTTGCCTTTATATGTTATTTGACCTTTTTCCTTAGCTGCTCCAAGTATTCTTTCTTTATTCTGTATGCTTGGGGTCTTACTATGTAGCGAGGGGACTTTTTTTGTGGTCCACTCTATTTGGTGTTCTGTACCTTCATTGGCATATCTTTCTTTAGGTTGGGAAAGTTTTCTTCTATGATTTTGTTGAATATGTTTTCTGCCCCTTTGAGTTGGGTTTCTTCACCTTCTTCTATACTTATTATTCTTAGGTTTGGTCTTTTCACAGTGTCCCATATTTCCTGGATGTTTTGTGTTAGGGATTTGTTGGAATTAAGATCTTCTTTGGTCGATGAATCTATTTCTCCTAGTGTGTCTTCAACACCTGAGATTCTCTCTTCCATCTCTTGTATTCTGTTGGTCTTGCTTGCATCTGTAGTACCTGACCATTTCCCAGTTTTTCTATTTCCAACATTCCTTCAGACTGTTTTTTATTGTCTCCAGCTCTCAACCCTTGCACTGTTTGAATTGTTTCTTGTAATTTTTGCTTTGTGTTTTCCTCCTTTCTTGCATTTGTTGGAATTTTTGGTTTGTTTTTTTCTTCCATTTCTTCAAGGGATTTTCTCATATCCTCTTTGAGGGCTTCTATCATTTTCATGAAGGTGTTTTAAGGTCATTCCCTTCTGCTTCATCTGCACTGGGGTGTTCAGGTCTTGTTGGTGTAGAATCTCTAGACTCTGGTGGTGTCATATTAGTTTTTTGGTTGCTGAGTGTGTTCTTATATTGCCTCTTACCCATCACTTCTTCCAGTGGGTGTAGAAAGAGCCTCTTCCTCTCTTGGTGGGTAGGTGACCAGGTTCCATTTTGGTGGGTGCAAGCAAATCCAATGCTCTCTGGCCTCTGCTATCTGCTGTCTGTCCTCTGTCCTCTGTCCTGAGTGTGGGCAGGAGTGGACCTGCTCTCTCTGCAGGCTCCTGATCACTTGGTCATAGTCAGTCTGGAGGCAAGTCAACCTGGCTGCAGTCCCCAGGTCAGGGGATCTGAGAGAGGGTTAGCGGGAGGGATTCACATCTAAGATGGGGAACCAGAGCTCACCTCTGACCTCTGCCCTGAGTGTGGGCAGAAGTGAACCAAGTCTCTCTGCAGGCTCCTGGTCACTTGGTCATCAGTTGACCTGTCTCTGGCCTCTGCCCTGAGTCCTCCTCAGGTTTCTTACCAACATATCCAGGTATGAAAAATAGAAGAACTGAGGTTGTCAACTCTATCCATATCTCTTCAATATTGTGCTTGAAGTTCTTGCTAGAGCAATAAGACAACAAATGGAGATCAAGGGAATACAAATTGGAAAGGAAGAAGTAAAACTGTCACTATTTGCAGATGATATGATAGTTTACATAAGCAACCTAAAGAATTCTAGCAGGGAACCACTATAGCTGATAAACACCTTCAGCAAAGTGGCAAGATACAAAGATTAACTCAAAAGAAATCAGTAGCCATACTATATATAGACAATAAAGGGACTGAGAAATCAGGGAAACATCACCTTTACAATAGCCACAAACAACATAAAATATTTTGGGGTAACTCTAACCAAACAGGTGAAAGACCTATATGAGTCTTAAAGAGTCTTGAGTCATTAAAGAAAGAAATTAAAGATACCAGAAAATGGAAAGATATCCCATGCTCCTGGATAGGTAGGATCAACATAGTAAAAATGGCAATCTTACCAAAAACAATCTACAGATTCAATGCAATCCCTATCAAAATCCCAGCACAATTCTTCACAGACCTTGAAAGAACAATTCTCAACTTTATATGGAAAAATAAAAAACCCAGGATAGCCAAAACAACCCTGTACAATAAAGGAACTTTAGGAGGCATCACCATCCCTGACTTCAAGCTCTACTATAGAGCTATACTATAGTAATGAAAACAACTTAGTATTGGCACAAAAACAGACAGGTAGATCAATGGAATCGAATTGAAGACCCTGATATTAACCCACACACCTATGAACACCTGCTCTTTGACAAAGAAGCTAAAACTATACTATGGAAAAAAGAAAGCATCTTCAACAAATGGTGCTGGCATAACTGGATGCAGACATGCAGAAGACTGCAGATAGATCCATACCTATGGGCATGCACAAAACTTAAGTCCAAATGGATTAAAGACCTCAACATAAATCCAGCCACACTGTACCTCTTAGAAGAAAAAGTGGGCAGTACCCATGAATGAATTGGCACAGGAGATCACTTCCCAAACATAATGCCAGTAGCATAGACACTGAGATCGACAATTAATAAATGGGACCTCCTGAAACCGAAAAGCCTCTGTAAGACAAAGGACACAGTCAAGACTAAATGGCAGCCCACAGAATTGGAAAAGATCTTCATATCAGACAGAGGGCTGATTTCCAAAATGTTCGAAGAACTCAAGAAGCTAGTCACCAAATCACCAAATAATGCAATTAAAAAAGTGGGGTACAGAACTAAATAGAGAATTCTCAATATAGGAATCTAAAATGGCTGAAAGATACTTAAGAAAGTGTTCAACATCCTGAGTCATCAGGGAAATGCAAACCAAAACGACTCTAAGATACCATCTTGCTCCTGTCAGAATGGCTAAAATCAAAAACACCAATGGCAGTCTATGCTGGAGAGGATGTGGAGAAAGAGGGATGCTTCTCCATTGCTGGTGGGAGTGTAAACTTGTACAGCCACTTTGGAAATTAGTATGGTGGTTTCTCCAGAAAATGGGAACCAATCTACCTCAAGATCCAGCAATTTCACTGTTAGGCATATACCCAAAGGATGCATAGTCATACAACAAGGACATCTGTTCTACTATGTTCATAGCACCATTATTTGTAATAGCCAGAACCTGGAAGCAACCTAGATGCCCCTCAACTGAAGAATGAATATAGAAAATGTGGTACATTTACACAATGGAATACTAATCAGTGTTAAAAAATAACAATGGAATCTTGGAATTTTCAGGAAAATGGATGGAACTAGAAGAAACCATCCTGAGTGAAGCAACCCAGTCACAGAAAGATGAACATGGTATGTACTCACTCATATATGGATATTAGACACAGAGAAAAGAATTACCACTCTACAGTCCACACCTCCAGAGAAGCTAGGAAACAAGGAGAACCGTAAGAGAGACATACACAGTCCCCTGTGAAGCAGAAAGGGACAAGAACCCCTGAATAAATGGGGAGCATGAGGGGGGAAGGAGGGAGGAGAAAGAGGAGGGAAGAAGAGGAGAGGGGAGGAGAACATGAGGGATCAGGAAGATTGGGTAGGGAGAGGAATAGAGGAGAGCAAGAAAAGAGACACATCAATAGAGGGAGCCACTATAGGTTTAAAGAGAAATGTGGCACTAGGGAATTTGCACAGAGATCCACGAGGATGACACCAGCTAGGACCCTTAAATGCCTTTCCCCTATAATGAGAATGATGATTACCTTAAATGCCATCCTAGAGCCTTCATCCAGTCGCTGATGGAAGCAGAAGCAGAAATCCACAGCCAAACTCCTGGAATCCAGTTTCAGAGGAGGAGGAGTGATGAACAAAGGGGTCAAGACCATGTCTGGAAAACCCACAGAAACAGCTGACCTGAGCAAGTGGGAACTCGGTAGACCTCAGTCTGACAGCTGGAGAACAAACATAGGACCAAACTAGGCCCCCTGAACGTGAATGTCAGCTAAGAGAACTGAGCAGTCTATGAGGCCTCTGGCAGTGAAACCAGGATGTATCCCTAGTGCATAAATGGACTTTGGGAGCACATTTCCCATGGAGGGATACTTTCTTAGCCTAGATACACAGGGGAGGGTCTAGACCCTCCCCAAATGACTTAACAGATTTTGATGATCCCTCATGGAAGGCCTCACTCTCCCTGGGGAGTGGATGGGGGATGGGATGGGAGAGAATGGGAGGGAGAGGGAACTGGGATTGATAGGTAAAATAAGTTTGTTTCTAATTTAAATAAAATCTATAAAAAACTGAGCTTACTTTGAGTGAAGGTGCAGTGAAGAAATACTGTGTTCTCTAGTCACCTTTTAGGGAGAGCTCCCTATTTATCATTTATGTTCATGTATGACTGGATGTTCTTATGATTTTTTTTAAGATAGGGCTTCTCTGTGTAGCCTTGGTTGTCCTGAAACTCACTCTATAGACCAGGCTGGCCTAGAATTCAGAGATTCACCTGCCTTTGCCTCCAGAGTGCTAGGATTAAAGGCATGTGCCACCACCCAGCATGGGGACATGTATAGAGGGAAAAGTGAATAAATGACCTAATCTGTTGACCAGAACAGCATTATCGAAACCATCCCCTTAGTAACTGACTCCTACATTTCTTGAATCCCATAAAAGGAAGCCCTGAATTGATAATTGGGACTCTTAAGTCTCTCATGTGTGTGGTCATCTGTCAGTCTTGACAATAAACTCCTCTGTAACCTGCATTAACACTTTGATCCAAATAAAGCAATATTGTTTCTTCTCCAGATCTGTGTAGCCCTGATTTTGGATTCCTTGGATAAGAGGCCAAGAAGGAATGTCAATTAAGAAAATGCCTCCATCAGATTCAATTGTAGGGTATTTTCTTAATTAGATTGATGGAGGAGGGTCCAGCCCATTGTGGTGGTACTGTCCCTGGGCTAGTGGTCCTAGGTTCTATAAGACAGACTGAGAAAGCTATAATGAGCAAGCCAGTAAGGAGCACCTCTTCATTGGCCTCCACATCAGCTCCTCCCTCCAGCTTTCTGCCCTGGCCTCCTCCAGTAATGGACTATGATGTGGAAGTGTAAGCCAAATAAACCCATTCCTCCCCAACTTGCTTTTCGGTCATGATATTTTATCACAGCAATAGTAACCCTAAATCAGCACAGAACCCATACATACAAAAACAAAGTGTTCTTTTATCCAATCTGAGAACATGAATTTGTATTGAAACAAAGAGCAATGGTTGAGCCCGCTAAAGAGGAATGTCTTCATGTTAGGTGGGCTTTAAGGATTGTGTTCTAGAGTCCTGTGAATCAGTCTTGGGTTCTCTCCCCCATCCTGGGCTCTTTGGGAAAAGTCAGAGTAGCTTTCAGAAGTGTTGAAGGAAGCCAATCAGAGGATCAAGTTCATTGGTCATCAGAAATGTAGCAGCTACTATGCTTTTCTGTTCTGTTTTATTTTTTAATATTTTTGAGACAGTTCCAGCTAGTCCTAGACTATCTGTGTAGCCAAAAAGGACCTTGGATTGAAGATACATTTTCCTCTACTTCCTTAGTGCTTTCGATAATAGCTATAATCAAAGTAGTTTGCATGTAATCAGTAGGGGTTATGGTGACTACAAAGGACATTGTCTCCAGATTGTTGCATATGCATGCTTGGGTTACCTCTGGTTACAATCCCTTCCCAGTTGCAGTGACCTCCCGGTTATTTAAAGAGTCTAATTAAGGTGGTGAATCCCTTCCTCCCTCCCTATCTGCCTGAGTTTTGTCTTGGCCAATAAGAATGCTGAAATTGCAAGCCACAGAGGAAAGGATGCTGGTCTGTGTCATGGAGGAAGGCAGCTGGATTTTGTTCAGTTTTAACAGATGCAGGGTGCTGATGGACTTACCATAAAGGATCATAAACACTTATCTAAAGTATTAGATACTCTTATCTAGAGTAAATCAGCAAATAGTAATAATGTGTGCTCTCACCTGTCACTCATGGTGCTTTTACTTATCTCAAAGTTCACATGTCTGATGATTAGTGGCTGTCATTTCCTGGAGACAGGTGCTCTGTACTGCACACCCATAAGTGCATATGCACGCACACATACACACATTCTAGTAAATGCAATAGAAAAAACACCTAATTAGGATGGAAGACCACATAAGGGCTTGGGGCACATGTCAGTCAGAATAACAAAGCCTTTTCTCAGATACTCAGCACTGCATAAGTCCCTATGGTGGTACATCCCTGAAATCCCAATGCTCAGGAGGTAGAGGCAGGAGGATCAGAAGTTCAAGGTAATCCTTGGCTAGAGAAAACTCAAGGCCAGCCTGAACTGGAGACACTCAGTCACAAAACAGACAAAATGAAACAACACAACACCTACAATCAGAAAGAAGATAGGAAAATCTCTAAGTTCTCAGATACTAACATTCTTCAAAATAACAACAAGAAAAAAGAAAGAAATCAAGGCAGCTGAGATGTCTCAGTGGGTAAAGCACTTGCTGTCAGGCCTGGTAAGTGAGTTCCACCACCCCAGGAACCCACAGAGTGGAAGGAGTAAACCAACTCCTGCAAGTGTCCACTAACCCATGCACACACTCTGTGTCATAAGCATGCCTATCCCACCCTCAAAAACAACTAAGTGTAAGAAAGTTTTTAATAGGGAAATCAAGAGTAGAAGATAGATCATGAAGAAAAATGAGAACATGGAACATCAGAACCTCTGACTATACCTTAGCATTTAAAGAACATTTATGATGTCACACATCTATCCCAGAAAAGGATCAAGCTTTCTGAATTATGTCACCATCTGTCTTGGGATTTCTACTGCTGAGATAAAACACCATGGCCAGCTCTGCCCTCTGCAGCATGCAGCTTGTCTTCTAATCTCAGGCAGGCTCCACTCACTGTTGCTGCTATTCTTGGAGGCCATCCCTTGATATTAGACCTTGGGGTCTGCTGCAACTGGGCTGCACTTTCACCAATAGCTTCTCCTAGGCTTTCTTCATGGTGCCATGGCTCAACTTCTCTACATGACTTCTTCAGTCTTGGGCCTTCTAACTGCTACTGAGGCTGCATTTCACCAATGGTCTCTCACAGTACCAAGCCTCAGCTGCTCTCCATGACCTCTTCATGTCTTCAAACCAGTGACTCTTACACTACCAAGTTCAGCTGCTAGCGTGAGATACAACCTTGGCCACCTCTGAAACACAGTTTCTGTGTACTGACTCTCAGAAAACACATTCCAGAAGATTTCACCTCAGTGATGCTAGCCTCTATTAATCTCTGCTAATTTCTTATCTCCAGCTAAGCAGCATCAATAGCCCAGGAAAGCAAAGGTTTCGCTTTAGTAGTTCTGGTATCTTGTTAATCACAGCTGATTCTCCAGCCCCAGCTAACCAGAACCACAGAATCTTAATTCAAAATAGCAAACAGCCCCGAAAAAGTTTTTCAACTTTCTTCTGAAACTTCACAAGCCAGGCCTCCATCTTCGGTATTTCCCTCAACATTCTTATCTTCTAAGCTCCTACAGAACAGCTCACAAGCACTGAGCACTCAAAGGCTTCTCTTGCATATAGTTCTAAAATCCTCCCACAACCCTCCTCAAAGCAACCCGCTCAGCTCTGTCACGGTGATATCCCACCACCTTGGTACCAACTTATCTTGGAGTTTCTATTGCTGAGACAAAATGCCAGAACGAAAAAAGCAAGTTGGAGAAGAAAGGATTTGACTTATGCTTCCATATCACCGTCACCATAGAGGGAAGTAGGACAGGAACTCAAACAGGGCAGAAACCTGGGTGTAGGAGCTGATGAAACACTACGGAGAGGTGCTTTTACTGGCTTACTCAGCCTGATTTTTTATAGAGCCCAGGAGAGATGGTACCACCTACACAGCACTAGGCCCTTCCCTATCAATTACTAATTAAGAAAACGCTCTACAGGATGGCCCACAGCCCTATCTTATGGAGTCATTTTCCCAATTGAGGTTTCCTCCTCTCAGATGGCTATAGTTTATGTCAAGTTGATATAAATCTACCCAGCACACCTTCTACCTAAGAAAATAAAAGGCATAGCCCACAGTAAGCAGTAGAATGGGAAAATATAAATGAAAGTTGTTGAGCCAGAGAGGATTCTGAAAGATGTCAGAGCAAGAAGTGCCACTAAGCTGTCTCTCCACACAGAGACAATAGAGTTGGTGGAATCTATCTGCTATAACTATTCTGGAATTCTGGAGTCTATTGAGGCCTTGCAAGTTCTAGGAGAAGGCTTGGAAAGTAGTCCAAGGTTAATTTTGGTCAAATTCAACTCTTGAAACTATAGCAACCCTG